CCGCGTCGCCCAACTTCTTCGCTGGCCCCTCCCCGCGCCTCGTGAGGTCACTTTTCAGCTGTCGCAGGAAACGCTTCTTTCGCGGAGTTTTCAACGGGAGGGAAGGGGGCTAGCGGTGGGGCGGGGGTGGGAATCTTCGCTGCTCCGCTGGTCTTTCATTTAGGCAGCTCTTTTAGTTTCCAGCAGTCACTCTCTGGAGGGGGTGGAGTCTGTGGGATGTTGCTCTCGCAGACCAGTTGTAGCTGCGTGCGGTGGTGGGAACCCTTTCCTAGACTGGTAAGTTTTAGCATGGAGGTTCCCCCCCCGCCCCGTCCCCTTGTTATGCTGGGTTTCCGGTGATGTGGATACGCATCTTGATGGCCTTTATTCCTGGCAGCGATTGACGCTGCTTTCCCTGTTTTCTTTTCTGCCAGGGACCGTTTTTCGTTTGTTTGCTTGTTGTCCGAGAGAGAGAGTTCGGGGAAGGCGTTTTGCATCATCCCCGGGGGGTCTTTTGCGAGTTGGAGCTGGACACGATTCCTCTCACGTGACGAGAGGAGAGAGGGGTGGTCTGCGGAGGAGGCGGAGGGCCAGATTTTATCCTGCCAGGGTCCAAGTGAGCCTCTCGGACCCTTTGACTTTCCGTAGAAGCATTCTTCAATTTAAAATTACAGGAGCTGAAGACACATTTTTAAACTAACAGCAAGAAACGTTATCTTAATAAGTAATCTTGTTTGTAACATTACTACTGTAACGGTTGCTTTTTCAAAGCCTCTCCGTCTTGTTTAAGAGAACTTTGCTGCACACCCAGATAGTTGAGGATTGCTTACTAATCCTTCCACCCCTTCCCAGACTCCCAGCCGTGTCTTTTCCTCCCTGTCTGAACATAAGTGAGCTGAGTGGCATTTTAAATGGATGCTGGATCTTGATTCCAGAAGGAATATGTCATTAAAACTCAGCTCCGTTTTCCTGCCTGGGATGGGAGCCATGGCTGGATAAAGGAGACAGCAGCACCTCTGCAGACGTTATTGTACACACACACACACAGAGCAGCAGCCAAAATATGATGGCCCCTTTGGTTTAGCTGCAGGTCTAAACGTGGCACGTGTGCACTTACCAGGCCTCCTGCGGAAGGTTTCCCAAAAGGAGGGTGGATAAATCTCTCCTGTGGGGGTCCCTGGCCATGAGGCAAGGGGCTTCCAGCTCAAATACCTCTCTTTAAGCACTGACTTGAGCTTAATTAACAGAGGTTCCTAGGTAAGAATCATAGCTTAATTTCAGTAATCTAATACTTCCTGTACTTTTATACTGTCTTCTCCCTCATCCTAAAACAATTAACTCTAATGTTTTACTGTCTACACATGAATTTTAAGCTGCTTCCCTGGAAGGAAAAACGTGACTTGTGGTGCTACCCTCTTAATACTTATTTTATGCCATCCTGTCAGGCTTGGGGTGATCTAGTGGACTTTAGAAATCCTTTCCTTGCATGACTGTGGATTGATATTTGTGGAGAAAAAGTAATCAGAACAGGAATAATTGGGTGAGGTTGGTACATGAAATCTATAAGCCGTAAAGCCTCAGAACTACCCTTGGCTATTTGATTATCTTGCACAGAAGATGAGAAAGCCTCCTTGTAAATCCATCTTTTTTGCTTTCCTCTGATTGCCCCCCCCTTTCCCCCAAACCTCTGATGCCATATTGTAAAGAGTCTTTATTTGCAAAAGTGCAGCTGAAGTAGGATTAGGGCATCTTTATACAGCCCTGGGACTGACTCTCCAAAGTTCCCTGAGTCCCCGTGCTGAAGACAGAAGTTTTCCTGCACTGATTGAGCAGTGTCAGAAATGCTAAAAATGGAAAGTAAATGGTTAAGTAAAAGTGAGGTTGTCAAACTGAAAAAGCTGCGTAAAAGTATAGATGATCCTGCAGAGAAATAAGGGAACCTATTATGGCCCGTGGAGCCGTAGTACGCTGGATTCTTTAAGCAAGGGGTCTTGGAAATCTTAATTACAGGGTGTCTTAAATTGCCTACATTTCCTTGCCATTCTCCCCTCTTGAAATAAGACCCATCTGAAAAATGATGGATACTGTCCCCCCTGAAGCTGGGAAGAGAGCCCAGAAGTTCTGGCGCCCAGTTTTACCTTCTGCTCCAATTCACTAGGCTTCCCCCTTTCCTAACAGAGCTGGGAATAGGACTCAGAAATCCTGGCTGATGACCAGATTTAAATAGCCGTTGAATTTAAATGTCCCTATAAACTTCCACGGGGATGAGAGGAGAGATTCCAGTTTGAATGCATAAACGTTGGCTTGGATTTAATGTGATAGCTGCCAGATTTGGGTAGAAGGCTGTAGAGTGAGGCGTTTTGTCAGTACCAGCTGGGGTGGGGAGATTATCCACGCTGTCCATCTTTGTGTCATGTGAACAGTTTAACTCTTGGGGAATGAGAAGAGGGTGGGAAAGGAATTATTTAGGAGTTGGTGGTGAAGAAACAAGGCTAGGCCCATGTGAACATAAGAGGAACCCCACTGGAATAGACCAAATGGTCCATCTAACCCAGCACATTTCCTTGGTGACAGAGACCATCTCCCACCTAGTGTCTTTCATATGTGTTAGGACACAGGGTCCTGGATTCCCAGCCACCTTGGCTATTAGCTGCACTGGCTAAGAATTCCAGGAGCACAAGGATGAAGCTCTTGGACTAGGGCATTTGGGCAACACTCTGAAGAAAGGTGGATAATTACCACCAGTACTTGCTGGAGAATTGACATTTTAATCAAACTTCCTCATAATACTTTTGGTGTCACTTTGACATTTCTTTGTTTGCTCTGCTGTTCTTCAGTGTTATCCTCTCCTTTCTTTTTAACCACCTACCATTCTCAAGCAGAACAGTATTCGGGATCTAAATAAGCCATACTCTTATCTCCCTCTGCCCCATATAGTAGGGCTGTTGTTCAGTATCCTGGCTGGGGGTAGGGAAGGGCAAGTGGCAGAGAAACATGAAATGCAGCTGCCTTGGTGGTAGCTGATGCCAGGGATGATAAGAACCAGCAACAAGAATAACATCAATGTGCCTCATACCAGGGCAATTACTTGTGACTTCATTATATCCATTTCACTTTTTTTGACTTTTTGTCAGACAAATGCAGTTCACAGCAAAATCCCTACTGTGGAGATTCCAGATGCGCCCAGTGTCTTTATTTCCCCAGAGTACTTCTAGGCCTGTCAGAAGCACTGGGGAGAAAGGATGATGGACACAGCCGGAGCCTTAGCAGCTGGAAATACCTCCTTGAGAATGACCTAACCAACAGTCAGAAAAAGGGACCACTGCCTGTGGTTACCTGTCAAATGATGGGTGGGTTGTTGGGTGGGGTGAAAGCAGAGCCACCAGTCTCTAGGGTGAGAGTTGCAGGGCACCAGAGGAGAAAGGGAGGTGGCGATGGGACAGGCAGGGCAGGGCTCAGGGGCACCTTTGAAGATAAGCCTCAGACCACATTCAGGTTTTCCTAAAGGTCTGACCTGAAAAATCTGGAGAAAGATTGGGCTGGGGTCACACACCAAGCTAAATTCATACAAGGCAAACTACAATGGGGTGTAGCATAATGTGTCAGCCAAGTCTTGTCTCTGTGCAACTTTGGGAAGAGGAGTTTGGTGGGTAGGAGCCCTCTAGGATTCCCAGAGATTGTAGGGTTCAGCTCTCTCAATGCCCTGACAAAATTCTCTCTCTAGGCTGCCTTTTCCACTTGGATGGCTCTGGCAAGCTGAGCTGGTTCGTGAGCATGGATTCTACATTGTTGCTACCGCTTGCTGTTACTCTTGATCCTCGGGGTTTTAATCAAGGGGCAGCTGAGCCCAATGAGCCCGTCTTGGACCCTTGCAGTCTCCTTTCAGAAAGACAGTATGAGGTGGTGCCCTGCGTGGTTTGTGCTCTCTGCTGCATTTTTGGAGTAGCTTACTGCTGTTTTGGTGAGTAGAGGGGAGAGGGACTCGGTCTTCTGCCTGCTCCTGAACGTATCCCGAGCTCCTCTTTCTTAACAGCCTCCCTTGGGTAATAAGGATTGCGTGATCTGAACAAATGCCTGTCTGTAGAGCAGGAAGAACAGAAGGTTTGAAAGGTGCTTCTGGAGCACCTGCTGGTTTGTGGAAAACTCTGAAACATCTTTGCTACTGAAAGGCAAGATGTACTGTATATTTTCCTGTTGACTGAAGCTCTTCTTTTATACCTAGAAGCTCCAGCTGGAGGTGGAATGTATGGTTGGCTGTGTCATGCAGCTCCAGGTCCCAAACACTTCCCCTTTTAGAATTACAATTTCTAGAGCATATCCGCACATTCTTTAAATGCCCACATTACTACAAGTAGTTGGCAAAATATTTTAACTAGCCTATCAGATAGATGTCCCTGGGTTGGTGATTGGATGTTTAACCACAGCTTGAAACATGAGAAAACAAACCTTTTCTTTCCAGTGTTCATGTATTATCTTTCCAGTTACTGAATTGATTCTTACCTGTCCTGGCAGTGGGCCTATGTTAGCAGAGCTGTTGGTCCCACCCAGAAAATGTCCATACCTGTTAGGACAACAGTTCCCAGAATTCCCAACCAGCAGTGCTAACAGCTGGGGAAGGTTGTGCTAAGGTTTCTCCAAGGACTTTCTCCGTGATTCCATGCCTTGCTCACATAAGGAAAGGAAACACTCCATCTTTAGGCTATATGGCCAAAACTTAGTGAAAAAGAGTTGGAGGCCATCTTGCAGTTTCTGAAATGTTTTTGTTGAAGTGCTAGGAACAGGGTGTAACCCTTGTAAGACCTGTGTGTTGCTTTTCAGTGTGCCTCATATCCACCTTGGAAGGAGGGAAGTCTAGTGTGGCTGAGAAAGCAGGAGAAGAGTGGGAATTCTAATTGTTTACCTCTCAGAAAGTAGCGATAACGAAGTTGCAGCTAGGTATAAGTAAATGGGAATGTGTACAGATTAGTTAATATAGCAAATCCAAATGAGGCAAGAGGGACAGAGAATGGGCTGGGGTAAGCAGAAGAAAAACAAAATTATCTTTTTAACATTACCCATTCTGTGTGCTAGTTCCCCTGGGAGTGAGCAGTGAGAGTAAAAGATTATATTTTATTTTGATTCTCTTGATCTATAGCCCAGAAAAGAATCAGTAAGACAAGGTTGTTGTTTTAAAGTCACAAATTACACTTTTCCTCTTTCAACACGTGTTTCAGTTGAGCAAAATAACCAAGCTCCAGCAAGCAGTGTCCTTCGTATCTTTCAAATATCATCAAGTACCCAAAATTGTTTTGTAGTAATAATGATAACAGCAAGTCAGCTTTGTAAATTGCATGAAACCTTTGTTCTGAATAATTACAACAAAAGGGCCATTTTTTTAAACCAGCTGACTTCTCCGGCCATTTTACTATTGATGGGTAATGAGAATTTGGATGCAACGTGTATTCGGTTGCCCTCTTGACTTGCCCTCCTATTGGTAAAACAATTTGCCTGTGTTAATTTGCCTTGCTAGTCTTATTTCATTCTTTCCTGTCAATAGGGTATCGGTGTTTCAAGGCCATCATGTTTCTCTCGGGTCTCCTCTTCGGCTCTGCTGTGATCTTTCTGCTTTGCTATAAGGAGCGTATCTTGGACACCCAGCTCAGCTTGGAGGTCAGCGCTGGCATTGCGCTGGGCATCGGAGTCTTGTGTGGCTTGGTTACCATGCTGGTGCACTCTGTAGGGCTGTTTCTGACGGGGCTTCTGCTGGGCTTGCTGGCAGCTACAGCTGGGCTGGTAGCCACTGAGCCTTTCTATGAGCTGCCCAGTGGGTGGGTCCCTGCTGGGTCCCTGCTGGGCTTGTCACTCTTAGGTGCTGTCTTGGCACTGCGCTGGCAGAAAGTCCTCACCGTGATCTCCACAGCAGTATTTGGGGGTGCTGTTCTGACTCTCTGCTTGGACTACGCGGTGGAGAACCTGGCTTTGGGCCACCATATATATGACCGCCTCCGTCTGGCCCCTTCTTCCCCGCTCTGCTGGTGTGGCTGGGCAGTGCTGGCTACGTGGCCTGCTCTTGCCTCGATGGGCATCCTGTTGCAGTGGAAAGTGACTGCTGAAGGTTTCTCCCACACAGATGGTGAGTGAAAGTCTTGGGTCTGAATGGAGGGGAAGGAGTAGGTCTAGCTGAATATGGAGCTCTTAAGCTCAGGGAGTAATAGAGTGTCCCATTTTTTCTTGCCATCCTTATTTTCCTCTCTCCCCACTGAATATACCATGTTATATCACACATAAATGAAGATTGAGGAGGAACTTCAATAGAGTCAGGAGAGGCTATAGAATCAGAGAAGGTCCGTGTTCATGGAATGAATAATCATATGTGGGAAGTGAGTGACTCTTTTTTCAGAGTGAAGGCAAAGGATTCTATGGGAATCATAAAATGAGGCCAATCCAGTTCTGTATTCTGAGATGATGAAATATTGTAGCTTCAGGCTCTTTCACACTATTTTAATGTTTTGATTTATTTCTTTAAAAAGTTAATCATAGAAAACATCCTTCCAGAGGTAATAACATCCTTCCTTGTTGCCATCTATCTCATTTCAAAAGTGGGAGACTCTAAGCCAAGCCTCAAGAGAAAATATTAAAGTCAGGAAGATCGAGGAGGTAGCAGCAGCTGGTGCCATGCTGCTTTGATCCCAAGGCATCGGGGCATAAAAGACCAGGACTGAATTTTACATGCTGTGCCTACTGGATGTTGCATCACTTTCTGAGGATTTCATACTGGAGGCAAAATTAGTCCCTTTAAATAGATAAATAAATAAATATACATACATGCGTGCGCGCGCACACACACACAGGGTTGTTTGGTTGTACCATGCAAGCATGACATGCTGTAATGCACACGTAGTTTGGTACCTGGCCCTTGCCCACAATGTAACAAAAGCGAAATTAGTAAATGCCTGCACAGTGGGTTAATTTTTATTCAGCCTTTCTTAGTCCTTAAACCAACAAAACAGCAGAAGTTCCTCCTGGGGATGAGAGCAAGCTCAAAATTTGTAGTTGGAAGATATAATCTAGAGAAAAGCAAATTTATGTAAATTTGCCTGGTATGTGTGCATCCAGTTGCACTCCTGCCTTCCAGTTTTGTTGCATGCGCAAAAAGTCAGTGTTTCCCCCCTCCTATTTATCAATAGAGGGAACATTTCTCAGAATGTGGATGACAACAAGATGTGACTTGGCAAGGAGGGGAAACTGAGTTTCTTTCTCTGACATTGGAAACCCTTGTGCGGATCCTGGCTTGATCTCTCAATCTTGAGGGGAGCCAACACAATTGAAGAGGGACTGGGGGATGCAGAGTCAAATCCCCACCCAGGCATGAAACTCCTAGGGTGATCCTGGGCAACTCACCTGCTTTTAGGCTGACCTGTCAAAGGAAGACTGTGAGGCTAACATTGCAATGTGGTGGGGAGAGAAGGGTGGGATTCACGTGATTAGTTGGGGGAGGAAGGGAAGAAATTGCTTCTATTTTTCCTCCTGATCCATAAAAGAAAGCTGAGATTTTCAGAAGGTTAAGATATATGGCCTGATGTTGCATAATCACAACAGTGTAGATTTTGTAGCTTTTCTGCTCTTGAAGGAGTTGGAGGAGGGAATGAGTAAGAGATAAGACAGGCTCAGTGTTGCATCTTTTCTCTGCCTTGCCCCAAAGCATATAAGTCAGAGTCTGTAGTCTGAACCAGGGTTTCTCAACCTTAGCAACTTTAAGACGTGTGGACTGCAACTCCCAGAATTCTCCAGCCAGCATGCTGGCTGGGGAATTCTGGGAGTTTCAGTCCATATCTCTTAAAGTTGTCAAGGTTGAGAAACACTGGTCTGAACCAAAGCTTCCCCTACAGGTGATGCTGTCTTTTCTTCCCTAGAATGGGGCTGGGCTAGGCTTCTTCCATGAGGGATTTTAGGATAAGTCTGCATCGTCTAGTCTCACATCTCTCTTCTGTGGCCCAGTGGTTCTGAATCGGCGCCAGAAGCAATTACAGCTCTTACGGATTCGACAGCGCGATGCCAAGAAGAGGCAGAGCCAAGCTCCACAGGAAGGCTCATACCGGCACAAGGCCAGTGCTATCAAACGCTGCGCTGGAGACGTCCTCGCACCAGTGAGTGGCTGCGATCAATGGTTGGTCAGGCCCTTCATCCTTGGGCTTCTAGGATGCCAGTCCTACCCTCTCAGCCAATGGAGCCTTCCAAGCTTCCTCCAGAATGGCTCTGGGGTGCCAAATGTAATCATTATGATCATCATTGGTGCCTGTTTGGAAATACCTTTCCTATAGAAGCTTGCTTGGCTCCTTCTTCATTGTCTTTTCAGGCCCAAGTGAAGGTCTACTTTTCTGCCCCGGTTTTTATTTTATGTTTCTATTTGTGCTGCAGTGTGCCCTCCGTATATATACATCCATACGTGCATACACGCACACATGTCTTAGCTTTATGTAGAAGCTGATTTAATTGATAAATGTATTGTCTTGTATCCATGTCTTATTACAGCAGCATAAAAATGAATCAAAATATGGAGTAATTTTGATTCGTTTTACGCTGCTATAATAAGACATGGATACTGGCTTTCAAATGTTATGTAAGGCCCTTGGAAAACTTCAGATTTGAAGAGCAGCAGATCAGTTCTTAAATAACTTGTCAGTCAAGGGGGTTAGGCACAAGAGAACTATTTACCATCAAGATGATTGTAGGAGGAAAACATTCCCCCTCTTTCCTTTTCTGACACAAGGGCCTATGAATGGTAGAGTCTCTGTTCTCTTCATTCTGGGGTAGTTTCAGTCCACGAGTACCTAAGGGGACCATTCCTGGGTGGGCCCAGAAGACCTTCTGTATAGATGGATTAAATTCTCTCCTTGCTTGATGGGAAATATATAACCAGAGGAAAACTGTAATAGTTGGATTCATAATGAAACCTTAGAGCTAGAAGAGTCAAAAGGGCATTGTCTGCTTAAAACTCCAAAATCTTTCCCCTATCTCTCATTCATAGGATTTTGGAGATGTGAGCCACCTAGACTCTAATGAGTAACCAACATACAAAGCCTTGAAATAAATAAACAGATACAGTGGTACCTCAGTTCACAAACTTAATTCGTTCCACGACTCTGGTCGCGACCGATTGGTCGTGAACCGATCAATTCC